ACCCTCCACCTCCTCGACCTCTACCCCCCTCCCCCCCCTCCCTACCCCCCCCCCCCCCCCCCCCCTCCCCACCACCTTCCCTTCCTCCCCTCCTCGTCCATGTCAGGCGTCCAGCATGGAGTGGGTGAGGCCGACGCCAAGCCGGGGTGGTCGGACAACCAGGCATTTGCAGTCCGTGCAGCCACTTTGAGTGCAGGCTCAATCACCCTCATTGCGTCGCTGGCGGAGATTCTGGTCTTTCTGAGCAAGCGCAAGCTGCGGACAGGAGGCGGCCCGCTGGTCTTGCTCTTTTGGCTGGCAGTCTCCGATGCCTTTACTGGCGCAGCCACACTCGCTGGTGGCATCTTCCCGCCCAACACCTCGGGCACCTGGTGCACCATCCAGGCCTTCACTCTACAGACCTCGAACCTTGCTGCTGTCGGATGGACACTCGCCGTCGTCCACAACCTGTATGTCGTCGTCTGCCGCATGGATCTCGACTACGCCCGCTTCTTCAAATACTACCACATGCTCATCTGGTTGCTTGTCCTCATCCTCGGCTTCCTCCCGCTCAGAATCTATGGGCCGGCAGGCGTGTGGTGCTGGATCGGCTCGCGTCACGTGGCGTATAGGCTCCTGTTCTATGTCCCGCTGGTCTCATCATTTCCTATCATGCTCGGCGTCCTCGTCCGTGGACGCTACGTCCTTCGCGCCCGCAAAGACTCGCTCACGCCACTGTTGGCGTCGCGGCGGCGGAAGCTCTACTGGCGCGTCTTTGTCCTCTCGCTCATCTTTGTCTTTTCCTGGACAGCCGCCATCACCAACCGGACGCTTGAGCATTTTGGACACTCGTACTTTGTTGCCGCGCTCCTTGAGGCTGCGATGGACCCACTGCAGGGCTTCCTCAACGCCTGGGTCTTCTTCCGCATTCCCAAGGTCCGCAACGAGCTGGGCGGGTGCTGTGGCATGGAGATGACCAACTACACCCGGCTCCCCTCGGCCGCATCCTCGGTCAACGGCTCGAGCACAACGCTTCCACTCTCACCAGGTGTTTACTCCAAATTGAGGTCGCCCATCGCCGACTACGGGTCGGTGAGTGGCAAGAAGGGCGCGGGTACCGGCGACTACAGCTCGGCGTGGTCTTCGGCCGGCGGGCACGTGTATCTCGGGCGTGGAGCGCCGTGAACAACGCTGTGGCATCCTCTGAGCTAGCTGCTGCTGCTGCCGCTGCTGCTGCTACCGTCAGCCTCGCCCTCGGGCTTTCCGGCCTCGCCGCGCAGCGCCGCGACCCAGTGGCCGAGTGCATCGGCATCCGGGACCGAGAACAGCTGAAAGCCGCGCTGCGGATGAGCAACGACAAACGAGTGCGGGCGAGCCGAGTCGAGGGTAAACGGATCGACTGACGCGCCTTGGAGCTGAAAGAACGAGACCGGCTTGGAGTCGTTCATCTTCTTGTACACCCAAAGCGTGCCCTTAGAGGCGGAGATGAAGACATCGGCCCACTTGGACTCTTTGGTGTCGTCGCGCTTGGAGACAACGCCGACCATCGACGGCTCCGGCACGTCCGTTGCCTTGAACACAACCATCGACTTGAGCCGTTTCTTAGTTGCCTTTGCCCGCGCCGACTGGCCGTCTTTCAGCTCCTTGCCCATGCCGACGAGCTGGGCATGGCGGAATCCGCCAGAGATCTGCACACCGGCCGACGAGCTCTTGCGGCGGGCTGGTGGCGCGACCGAGAGCCGAGCTCCGCGGCGGAGCGTTCCGGTCAGAGCCGGGCGCGGGGCCGACGGCGGCGGCGGCGGCGGCGCCTTGCTGGACGCCGCCGGTCTGCCGACCGAGATGGCTTCGGCTTGCAGGCCGGCGACCCACGCGTCACGCTCACCGCGGTTAGCGCAGGCAAGGATCTTAGTGCCTTGATCGCGGTGGTAGATGCAGATGCACCACTGCAGCATCGGGTCGTTCTTTTCGATCACGCCAAACTGGCAGCCAGTGAGGAGGACAAAGCCCTCGGGCCGCTCGGCATCGGCCGACTTGTAGTAGTAAAAGTGGTGGTCCGAGACCACGCAGTAGCGCTTGGACCACTTGGAGGTCTTGAGGTCGCCGCGCTTGATGAGGTTGCCCTTCATCGATGGGTTGGCAATGGCGCTGGCCGCAGGCAGGTTCATCGTCTTCATCAGCTTGCGCCGCTCACGCTCAAGGTCCTTTTGCTGCTTCTTGAAACGCTGCTGCACCTCGCGCCGCTCCTTGGGTGAGAGCGTGGCGTACTGCTCGCGGCTCATGAGAGTGCCAAAGCCCGAAAGCGCCGACTCCACCTCTTCGCGCGCTGTCAGCCCTGTCCCTGCCTCGGCCACAAACGACTCGGGCTTGGTCTCCGGCACCACCCGCGGAATGTGGACAAGCAAGAACCTCTGGTGCTTCTCGTCGGTGATCCCGAGCCGTGCCAGCTGACCTGTTGTTACAAACTGATCTGCGGCCTTGCCGTCAATGTTGTTCTCGCGGAAAATCGTCGAGTAGACCGAGAGATTGACGTCGATGAGCCACTGAATCATGTCGTCGACGCTGCGCGCCTCACGCCACTCGCGATGGACCTCCGGATCGTCCTCACCGGCATGCCTTGCGGCCGGCGGACTAGTGAGATCGGCGTTGGACCCGCCGGTCCGCGAAGACGCCGACCGACGCGGCGGCGGCGGCGGCACGAAATCGGAGTTGGCTGCTGCCGACCCTGCCGCGCCGTCCTGGCTTTCGGATGGCCGAGCTCGCTGGGCCTGCGTTCGCTTCGGGCGATCCTTGGTCGGATGCTCCAGGCTCTTATCGCGTCCCTCGGGTGGAGGCGAGCTGGCGTCAAAGTTGAACATCGCCTGCGAGAGGTCGTGCATGGAGATCCGCTTCGACGCTCGCTTGTTGCGCTTTGCCAACTTAGCCGCAGCCGCGTTGATCGGCGCCCCGTCCGACGCTCCCGCACCAATGTCAGCCGCGTCCGACGAGTTGGTCGACGAGCCGGACGAGCTCGAGTACGAGCTGGACGACGAACCGTCCGACGACGTGTCAAACGAGATCTTGGTGCCGGCGGCCATCACCGGCGCAGCTGCCGGCTTTGCCGGCGCATTGGCCTTTGCGTCGGCGTTGGCCTTGGCCTTTGCTTCGGCGTTGGCCTTTGCCTTTGCCTCGGCTTCGGCCTTTGCCTTTGCCTCGGCGTCGGCCTTTGCCTTTGCCTTTGCGTCGGCCTTTGCCTTTGCGTCGGCCTTGGCCTTTGCGTCGGCCTTGGCCTTTGCGTCGGCCTTGGCCTTTGCCTTTGCCTCGGCTTCGGCCTTTGCCTTTGCCTCGGCTTCGGCCTTTGCCTTTGCCTCGGCTTCGGCCTTGCGCCTAGCCTCGGCCTCAGCTGCGAGACGGGCAGCCTCAGCCGCGGCGCGCTCGAGACGGGCGGCCTCGAGACGGGCGAGGTGGGCGGCGCGGGCGGCGGCAAGGGCGGCGCGGGCAGCTGATGCGCGGGCAGCAGACTGGATGACGATGGCGGCAGCACGCTCGCGCTTCATGCGGGCGACGCGAATGCGGGCGAGACAGGCGCGAAAGGCAGTCTGGACCCGAATGGTGGCCCACAGCCGCTTGCGGAGCCAGGCAACCCGCTGTTTGGCGAGAAAGACCCGGACCGAGCACTGCATGGTGATGACGGTTTCGCGGAGAGCCTCTGCGCGGGCGGCGTCGAGGACGTTGGAGACGCCGTCGCGAAGGAAGACCTTGGTCTTGCCGACTTGCCACTGCGCATGCGAGCCAGAAGCGTCATCGACCGGCACGGTAGCCGCAAGGATGGCGCGACACGAGTCGGCGTCGGCGGTTGCGTCCTTGTTTCCGAGCACAGCGTAGCGGGCCGTAAACTCCTCAAACGGAATCCAGACTGGGTAGGCGCGACGGCGCATCTCGATGGTGTCGAGCATGCCAAGACAGCGGACCTGGCGGACGACCGTGGCCGAGTCAAACGAGTCCTTTGAGAGCAAGTTGTTCGGCTTGAGACAGCGGACAAAGTGTGGGGTCGATGCATTGAGCGTGGTCATCAGCGAGTTGAGCGAGCGGATAAACTGCTCGGCAATGCCAGCCTTCTTCTTCTGCGAGCCGCCGCTACCGCCACCACCACGGCCGCGTCGCCCGCCGCGCTTGCGCATCAGGGTTGCAGCCGCATTGGCCATCTCAGCGTCGGTGCCTGCAGCCTCGGGCTCGGCTGGCGGCGGCTTGAAGAGCTTAGCCACGAGCGGGATCGACGACATGGTGACGAGTTCGTTAAAGGCCTCGACCGGCGAGTCCTTGTTCTTGTTGAGAAAGCCGTCAATGGCGTAGGCAACCCGGCCGGCGTAGTGGTCGACCGAGAAGCCGAGCCGTTCCTGACGGCGCTCAAACGAGTAGTGCGGCGTCGGATTGGGCATCTGGCCAAAGGCGGCGTGCATGCGGGTGAGCAAGTTATCGTCCGAGCCGTTTGGCACCTTGCACTCGTCGGTGAGCATCGAGAGAATGCCAAAGTTCTTCTTCTCGATAAGGTCGAGGCACGCCTGATTGTCGACAAAGGCAATGTTCTCGACAGCGAGGCCCTGCTGCGCATACTCATCGAGCTGGAGCTTAAAGGTGTGTGCCACAAAGAGCTGCTGGAGCTTCTCGTTGACAAAGTTGATGAGCAGCTGTTCGTACGAGTTGCGCTCAAAGACTTCAAAGCCAAAGATGTCGAGCAGGCCAATGGCCGGCTTGGTGTCAGCGCTGGACGCGTCGGACGCGCCGGGTGCGGCTGCCTGGCCAGGGCCGCCAGGCGCGAGCGAGACGTTGACCTGCTTGACCAGAAACTCAAAGATGGCCTGGTATATGGTCTTGGCACAAGTGTCGCGGACAGCGACGGCTTCAGGCAGAGTGAGGGGCTTGATGTAGACCGAGGCTCGTCCACGGGCAGCGACGGTACGCTGGGTCAGGAGCTGCGAAAGGAAACCAGCATCGATGCCGAGGAACTTAGCGATGGTCTCGACCAGCTCGGGCGTTTCGACCTCGACGGCGTCACCGCGCTCAACGAGGCGGACGTTACCGAGCTCGAGGACGGCGGCGACGACCTGAAAGATGGTCGTCTGGGCGGCGTCGTCAAGGCCGACCGAGGTGAGGCACGAAACGAGCTCGGCAAAGTCTGCGGCGTCATCGACGCCTTCGAGAGCGACTCGCTCGGGATTGATGTAGGCGTAGTCGGTGACGGTGTCGCGGAGGGCGCAGGCCTCGCGCAGCGCTGGCGGCGCGCCGCCGAGCAGCTGGTAGAAGATGTGGTAGTTGCGCTCGCGCGGCGACTGCGAGATGATGCGCGACTTTTCGAGGAGGTAGATGACAAAGGAAGCCGAGGCGAGGGCGCCGCCGGAAGTAAACTCGATCTGGATAAACTTACCGAACCGCGACGAGTTTGCGTTGCGGGTCGTGGCTGCGTTGCCGAAAGTCTCGAGGATGGGGGAGGCGGCGAGGACACGGGTGGTGAGGTCGTCGCCGGCTTTAGCTGGCGCGACGGCATCGGGAGCCTGCGACGAGATGTGGGTGAGATACCGGAGGATGTAGCCGGTCGTCCGGGTCTTGCCTGCCCCTGACTCGCCGGTGATGATGAAGCTCTGCGGCGTGAGGGTGTCGACAGCGGCGCGGTAGACCTTGCGGGCAACGGCGTAGACGTGCGGGACGTCGTCGTCGACGGCATCCAGGTCGGCGTAGAGATCCGGCAGCGCCTCGCACGGGTTCATGGCGGTGAGAACCGAGCCGGTGTAGGTGTACACCTCCTTGGCACAGAAGCGGCGATAGAGATTGGCCACAATGTCAGGCTCGGAGAGAGCCGAGATGGTCATCATGTCCGGCACGCCGCGAGCAGCCGAATCAAAGGGAAACGAGGTGACCGTGACCGAGTTGGGTTTGTTGGCACATGCCTGAATGGCCTCGCCAGGAGTACCTGCAGCCTCCAGCACAGGTGCACCCTCGATAGGGCTCAGGTGGTTGTCAGCAATGGTACCCGAGACAATGGCAGTCTCAGGCTCGGTAGCCGCCACCTTGCAAAGTGCCCACCCACCGTCACCATGACGGACCCAGACCAAAGACCCGACCTCCACACTCGCCACATCCACGCTGCTGCTGTTGCTGCTGCTGCTTGCCATGGTGGTGTCAGAGGGGAGGAGCGAGGGGGGGGGGAGGGGGGGGGGGAGGGAGTCTAGTCGAATGTCCTCTTCGGAAGAAGTGTAGGCCGTTGTTTTTGGGTGGGCGAATGGGTGCCTGCCGCACCGCACCGCATGCGTCACACACTGCTCACTACTGGGGATGGGGACGGGGATGGGGAGGGGGGAGGGGAGGGGGATGGAATCGGGCATCAGGTCGCGGTTAGGGGTAGTGGCAGATCGGGGTTGGGAGATTTGGGGGGGGAGGGGGGATGGAGGGATGGAGGGATTTGCCTGGTTTGCCTGTGGGTATGGGGGTTGCGTGCGTGCGGCATGCGGTGGGGCATGGGCATTCTTTGGGAAGGCGATGGTGGGCGGTTGTTGCGGCGCATGGTTGGATGGGCGGGTGCGTATGGTTGGATCGGTGGCTGCTACTTTTCCCGGGCGCGGACGTCTACGGCAGTGACGCGGACCTGGTAGGTGGTGCAGTATGGGTAGCGGCCGTCATCGTCGGGAGTGTTGTGGGCGACGACTTCTGCGGGAAAGCCGGCGCCTGCAAGGACGCCCTTGACGATACCAGCGACAAAGGCGCCGCAGTTGAGATCGGACATGTCGCGCGGAACAGAGATATACCTGTTGACCAACGGCTCGTTGTCGACGATGTGATACTCCTCTGCGTCGTCGGACGAGTACTGCGCGAGGGCATCGGCCGATTTGCCAAAGAGGGTGCGGAAGACCGAGGTCTGGATAAGAACAAGGACGTTCTTGAGCTTGACCTCGCGCTTGCCCGACTTTTCCCTCAGTGAGATGAGGTCCACCATGCGCGCGCCGACCTGGAAGCCCGCAGCATCGAGCTTGGCCTCCAGCGGACCGATGGCGGTGACCCTTGACTGCGAGTGACGGATGAGCTCCGAAAAGAGGTACGAGAACGACGAGAGGCCGACCTGCGAGCGGATGGGTAGGAGGTAGGAAGGGGGAGTGAATAAGTGTGTGTGTGTGTGTGGGGGGGGGGGGGGGGTGGGGAG